TCAACAAGTCTTGCAAGAACGGGATGGGAACGCCCACCAGCCACTCTTCCGGAAAGGACTTCCGAATTTTCACAGCGATGTCCGCCTGGCTCCATCGCACGCCCACGACGCTGGGGCACGCGACCCCACTGGTGACTGCCCCTTCTGCCGCGGCGGGCGGCGCGGCAGCGGGTGCGTTTCAATCGCCCTTGCGGCCGCGCTTGCCGCCGTCGGCCGCGCCCCCGCTCGCGTTCCTCGCGTCGCAAACTACAACGCCGGGTGTTCCGAACATTCGGCGCTAACCGTCGCCTTTCCCGGACCCAGGGCGCCCCCGGACCCGGGCCGCCCCCTTTAAGCTAACAGGGAAACCAAAAACTGAGACCCGGGCTCCTGGTGCACTTGAGGGCGCAGTGGTTCGACATGCCACACAAGCGCCCCGTCTTGTTGATCACGACGGAACAGACGTGCTTATACCCGCGAGGGCACGGCTCGGAGCACTCCCCGGCGTTGAACTTGCGACACACCTGGGTTCCGTCTTTCAACCGATCGCCCAACTGCGCGCCCTTGCCACCTGTCCGCTGGCTCCGCCCGACGCTCGTCGGCGGCCGCTGCGGCCCGGGAGCTGGCGGTGAGGGCGGGCTCCACATGACCTCGCGAGTCTGCAAGCCCTCGCGGATTATCTTCCCGACGCTCAGCTCGCTGGTGCGGACCCTGTCCGTCCACCAAGCGCGCTCCTCCTCGTCCCGACGCACGACGTTAGGCAGCGCAATCGAGAACGGCATCGCACTGGCGTACTTGACCAAACGGAAATGGTAGGCCATCGCGACATCCAACGGAATCTGCACGAAATCCGTCGCATCCGAAGACGCCTTCTCTGGCGTCCCGGGCGCCGGGTCAATCGGCTTCACCCCAGCGCGCGCGCATGCCACCATGAGAACCTGGTGCAACGCGATATAGGTTTTCAAGTCCTTCGCGGGATCCGGATCTTCCTTCTCATCGCACACGAATTCGACATCCCCAATGCGCTGCCGCTTCCTGGCAGCCCTCGCGGCATTCAGCAACGTGCGGACCTTCCATACACTCATCATCGTCACCTGGCGCCTGCCGACCATGGGGGGCCGCGCGCGCGACGCGGTCACCCCCTCCGCGTGCAATGGGACGCGCCTGCCCAGCTCCCTGCTGATCTTACTGACCAGCGCTTCGGACGGCTCACACTCCGCTGGGTACGCCATCTTATACCGAGCGAAGAACTGCTCGCTCAATTCAGCGAGCTGCGGCGACGGCAATGGGACATCGTCGCTCTCGTCCAAACCGCGCCTCTTCCGGGTCTCGGACTCCCGGGCGGCATCGCACACGGCTTTCCACGCCTGCCGCACTACGCGCTCAAACTGCGGCGCGGGCCAGGCAGGACCCCCCCCCGCGCAGGCGAAGGCCGCGACTGGCGCACGCGGGACAGCTGTCCCAGCCTCCTCTCGAGATCCGGCACGCGCTCGAGGATCGGCGCCCACTCGTTCTCGCTCGTGACGGCATGCGCGAAATCGACCAACGTCTCTAGACCCACGGTTTCGACCAGGTGGGTGGCGATGCGCTCATCAAACTGATACTTCGCGGCCAGCTCTCTGAATTGTGCAGCGGCGTCGCGAGCGCCGACGCGCCCCGGCAGCGCAATGCCGTCAACTGACAAAGACATACCGAGAACCACACGTGTCGCTCCGCTAAACCTACTCTCTGGACCGCGTTCGAGCCCACCTCGGGGCGCGCATACGCATCCGTTAAGTTGGCATTCGCTGGCAGGCCCACGCGCAACTCCGCGCGTCTCCGCCGCGATGACGTCACCACCTCACGCCGGGGCTGCCCGGCCGCGCAACTTTTCACACGCCGCGCACACCAGGGCTCCCTCCGGGAGCGCCGGGAACCACTGCAGATCACTCAATCCATTCTGACATAGGTTCGTCACTGGCCCGAACTCACTGTCCGTCCAGGCTCTGGACTTTTTGAGGCGACGAATTACGGGCATCGCGACGTGATATCGAGGCCCCATAACCTCCCTTACCCGGGTAGCCCTCCCAGGCTCAGACTGCACGTACCCGATCGCGCCCCGCGGCTCGGGCGACGGGCCCACGGCTCGCGACGCGCGCGCGGATGATCCCTCCGCAACCTGCCTGACTGGCGGCGCGCAGTGCGCTGGCGCGCCATCTGAGCCCTTTACGTCACATTCACCCAACTCCGCGCCCTGCGCTGCCTCGTCACCTGGAAGCACGGTCACCGCGCGACCGGCGCAGTCAACTCCCCGCGCTTGGAACGCGGCCGGGCCTGCACGGGTTGCGTCTCCCGGCCGCACCGACACTTCATCTCCCCTGGACCTGGGGATGGAGACAGCCTCCAATGCCGCCCACGCCCGGGCACAATACCGCTGGGCCGCGCGATCGACCCGCGGTTCGCCCTGCGCGGCCCGCAATGGCAACCGACGCCGGACTGGCGCGCGCTCCCGCCTCTGCTGGTCGCTTGTTTTTGCCGGCAACTTTCGGCGCTCTGCGTGGACTCGCAGGCGCAGGCAACGCGTTCCCACGCAAACCGCCCGGCGCTTTACCGCGCCCCCCCCGCTTTGCACGCGGTGCCCCCGACGCGAGGGTTTGCGCAGCGCGCGCACGCGCGCCCGGCGCTTCGGCGCCCGCCCCCCCCTCACCGCTCTTACCCGCGGCGCCCCCGTCGGCAGGACCCCGACAATTGGGTGGAGGCGCGCCCGGCGCTTTACCGCGCCCCACCCGCTGTCCACGCGGGGCCACGATTATCCGGAGAAACTTCTGCCGCCTCAACTCCTCGACGACCGACGGGGGCAAGAACGCGGCCTTCTCACGAACGGTCGACACCGCCACCCGCTGCTGCGCCTCTTTCTCTAGGTCGGCCAACATTACTTTTCCTGGCGCAGAACTCGCCCAGCATCGCACTTGCTCCCACTGCACTGGGGCCTCCAGATCGGTCCGCAGGCACGACAACACTCCGGCCATGTGCAGGCGCGTGCACATCTCGGCTTGCCGCCGACGCGCATTATACACGATCGGCATCTGGTTCCGACGGGAGTTGTCTCCCCCCTCCGTCCAACCGCCCGAGATGACTCGGGCTTCCCAGTCCAATTGTATCGCGCTCGCCCATGTAGGCCCAGCCCGGCGCAAACTGTACGAAGTCACAAGATCCAACTGGGAATCGTCCGCTAGCGAGCCTCGGAATACTTCCTTCAGCGATCGGTTAAAGGCACCCAACTTCACCGGCGCGCCGGAAACTGGATCGAAGACGAGCCCCGTCGGCACAGCCCTTCCTGCTCGATCTTCCCGCGCCGCCAACTTGTGCCAACCATCCCACAAGGCGTCAGCGGCGGACCGCGCGCCACCTAGCCGCCTCGGCAAGCACCAATCGAACGAAGGTCGCCCCTGTCGCTTTCCCTGCTTCCCCCTCGATGCGCGGAACCAGCAAAAATAAACAGACTTCTCTAAAGGCCTAGAGCGCAGCAGGTGCGTGTACCTCACCCACGCGAATACCACCGCCAGCATCCCAGCCGCGAGCATGACTTGCCCAGGCGTTCTCGCGCCATCCAGGAAATCGATCACATGGTAAATCATCTCGGGTTCGACGACAGTGGCCTGGGCCGGCGGTGCTACGGTTCCACTGCCTGGATCACGTGGCACAGGGCGAAACGCATCGTCCAGGCAGAAAGGCGCTTTCAAATGTACGCACATCCACTTCAAGGCGTTCCAGATCCTGACGCCGGACGTCCGTGCGATCGAGAGCTTATGCACGAACTCGGCGACTGCCATGGGTGGCCGCGTCAGACTCGTCGCCGGCTGCCCTTGCCGGCCCGCCCACTCGGCCCACTGCCCCCACACGCGCAAGGCCGTGCGCAGCGTCCCGGATTCGAAGTTACTCAGCCTAAACACCGCCGCGGACGAGACGTCGGCGAGCATCTCGGCCTGCGCCTCCTGCAACCCCTGCCCGAGGCCGCTTTCCGGGCGCCATTCAAGCGACACTCGAACTGCGCTGACCGCCAGCTGAACGCGCCCCTCACGCTCTGCCGCCTCCGTCGCCACTGCGGCACAGCGTCTCGGCCGACCGCGGCGCGCGGCGGTAGGCCCACGCCCTTTCCCCGCCGCGGCCCCCGCGCTCACGGCGGGCGCGGCGGCCGCCGCCGCGCCGCCAAATCGCCCCTCCGCGCAAATGCCATGCGCGGGCACCAGCCACGGCGTCACCCGCGCCACGTCCCGAGCCACGGCCCAGGCCGTGGGCACTCCACACTGCTCCGCCTCGTCCGTCGAGCAAAACAAATGCGCTAAATCGCCAGCCGACTCCAGTCCCTCTCTCTGCACGAGCGCAGAAAGGGACTCGCGCTCGGAGGAATCGACCCTCCAATCTAAGAGCTCTTCGATGAAGAGCTCTCCGCGCTGCCCGGCCATCAAGCAGCACACAAACAAGAAACAAACCAACAGCAACCGCTGTCGCCAACGCGCTTTGCTCGCACGATCCAATTGCGCGCTCTGATGCGCGCAGTCCCTGCGAGCGCGCGCGGGCGTCCCCTTCTGTCATGATTATGGTTCCCTGACCCGAGCCTCCCCGAGCCTAAAGTCAACGCATAATCGTCATCATCACCAACACCACCATCATCATCGCCATGTTTCGCCTCCCTCCCTCCATCCACCACTCTCTCCACTTTCGGCTTCCCTGGCCCAATCCATTCCCACTCTTAAGCCGCCTTGCCTCCCCTCCCCCCCCTTCCTATTGTCTTCTGCCTCCCATCCTCCCTCCATCCATAAAGGGGCCCAGGGACACATAAAAAGACACAAATCCCAGGACTCCCCATATTTTCGCACATTTTCTGGGCTGTCAGCTCCCCCCCACTTCCCGTAGTTTCCCATATTCCTGGGAGTTGACGATGCATTGTGCCTGTGTTTTCCCGTCCTAAATCCATCCATCCTCCCTCCATCCCTCCGCTCACCACTCCCCCTGGATCGGGCGACCGCTGAGCCGCGCACTCAGCGATCCGGAGGGCTCATCTACCATCAAGTGGAGCACACTCGACTGACGGCCGCTCGGCTTTGCTTGGAAGGGGAGGAGGGAGAATGAGAGGGGGTTGCGAGGGGCGAGGGTGAGGACGAGAAGGCGGAGGCTTCTACAACGAGACTTGCCTCATCCGCGGGAGAAACTACTGAGACGAAGCCAGGACAGGGACAGAATCAGACAGGGAACAAATCGGGGATCTCTGAGATCTGGCGGTTCTGAGCATGTATCGGGCGCCGCGGCCTTATCAGAACGTTCCAGAACGCTCTGGAACGAGTTGATCCATGTCCTAGCCCCGCCCGAACTACTCGAAGCCCGAGGCTGCTGTGGCAACTCATGGGAGCCTCCTATGCCATCTTGCTGGCTTTTGGCAATCGACGCTTACCGGCTAACCGACGCTAATCGACGCTAGTCGACGCTAAATTGACGCTAATCGAAGCTTTCCCAGCGATTACCAAACGCTAGCGCCCGCGAATGTATTCTAGAGACTGAATTCCAACGGCATGCCTCCCACGATTTGCCTGCCGAACCTAAGTTGACCTCCCTCTTTCTACTCCACAGGCTCCACATCTACCTCAACATCACGACATCCCTCCTCAGCCTCTCTCCCCCTCGGGCCCAATGGTGGACGGCCCAGGCATTCGACCCGTCCGCGCGTGCGTAGACGGAACCGATCGCGCGGCGGAGTGTGGGCCTGCGAGGGAGCAGCAGCAGGAGGACGAGGAGGAGGAGGAGGAGGAGGAGGAGGACGGCGACGACGAAGACGAGAGAGGCGGGAAGGAGGACGACGAAGACGAGGACGAGAACGTCGAAAATGCACGTTTCCCCCAAGGAATGAAACGATGATTGCGTCTTGGGCGTCACCTTGGGGGCCTCTTGAGCCGTCTTTGAGCCACCTTGGGCCCTCTTTGAGCGCCTATAAGCCGTTCTGGAGCGGCCTTGGGCCGTTCAGAGGCTCCGCGGGACCGTCTGGTAAGCGATCCTGGGCCCGCTCAGACGGCGTAGGATGGCCTGGAGGGCTCCCGGAAACGAAAATTCGAATTTCACGGTGGCGGGAGCGCCCAGAGCCGAATTGATGAACGGGGGGCGGGTCCTTTCAAGAATACCCGTCGGTCGAAAGAAGTAGGTAAAAACATGAAGTAGGAAAGCGGAGAAATAAGATTGGACTCAGGCCCTCCCAAAGAATAACAAAAAACACAAGAAGCATATCGATTATTTAAGTAGGAAGGCGCTTGAAGTAGATTGGAATCTGGGAATTACCTACTAACGACTGGCGTGCATTCAAGGAGGAATACACTACGCAGAAGGCACCTGCACACCACCACCACCACCACCACCATGCCCGGCCGCGGCATGGTGCATGCGCCCCCCTGGCCGAGAGCAGCGGGCAGAGAGCAGAGACCGAGATACGGCAAGTTTGTGTCATGACGACCCTGGCGCTGGTTTGACACCGCGAGGATCGCTCAGCCTCGAGCCATCGGGCCATCGGCGGCGTTTCGATCGCCAGCCGGTTCCACATTGCCCGATTCTGGGTCAACCTGGAACACGAGGGCCGGGGCCGCCGTCGCGCCGTCACGACACGAGCCTGCCGCATCCAAACGGCTCCTTCATGACGCGGCGCAGGCGGCCCGTGCGCCCATCCCTCTCGAGGTGGGCGTTGCCAGTCTTGAGCTCGCGCGCGAGGGACTTCAGCGAGGCCATCGTGAACTCGCCTTCGGCGAAGGAGCGAGGAGGAGGAGGAGGAGGAGGAGGAGGAGGAGGAGGTGGAGGAGGAGGAGGAGGAGGAAGAGGAGGGGAAGAAGGAGGAGGAGAAGGAGGAGGAGAGAGGAGGAGGAGGAGAGGAGGAGGGAGAAGGAGGAGGAGGAGGAGGAGGAGGAGGAGGAGGAGGAGCACGAAGAGGAGGAGGAGGGGAGGAGGAGGAGGGGAGGAGGAGGAGGAGGGAGGAGGGAGGAGGAGGGAGGAGGAGGAGGAGGAGGAGGAGGGAGGGGCAGGAGCACAGAAAGAAGGAGCGGGAAGGACAGGAGCAGGAGGTGCAGAGCAGCCAGCGAGCAGGAGGAGGGACAGGAGAGGGGAGGAGGAGAGGGACAGCAGGCGAGCAGGCGAGCGGCGAGCAGAGCGGGAAGGACAGGAGGAGGAGGAGGAGGGAACGGAGGAGGAGAAGGAGGAGGAGGAGCAGGAGGAGGAGGACGGGAAGGAGGAGGAGGAGGAGGAGGAGGAGGAGGAGGGGTAGGAGCGGGAGGAGGGGAAGGAGGAGGAGCACGAAGAGGAGGAGGAGGAGGAGGAGGGAAAGGAGGAGGAGGAGGAGGAGGAGGAGGAAAGGGGCAGGAGCACAGAAAGAAGGAGCGGGAAGGACAGGAGCAAGAGGTGCGGAGCAGCAGGCGAGCTGGCGAGGACAGGAGGACAGGAGGACAAGAGAGGGACAGCAGGCGAGCAGGCGAGCAGGCGAGCAGAGCGGGAAGGACAGGAGGAACAGAGGAACAGACCGAGCGCACCCAGGTGCGAAGTTCGGGCGATGCCAAACGCATTCTAGCCCTGGCCATGAGCGGCGCATGCAGCGGCAGGCGCGGCGGCAGCTGATATTTCTTCCACGGCCATGCCGTGAGTAGCTGCGCTCAGGAATTTGGTAAGGCCATCGCGCCCAGCGTGGGCGCGAGTGAATTCTCCCTTGTCAATCTTGGCGAGGTTATCTCGCCCTTTCTTGGTAATACCTGCGCAGGGTCCTCAGTAGCCGTCTTACCGCACCCGCGGTATAAGTACAGGCGGTACTTCTGCACGAAATGAAGCTTATGGCTGGCGTGCAGCTCGCGGCCAGCAATGGTGATGGTGCCCTGTACTGGCACTATCTGGTCACTGGCAGACGGAAGGGGCGGCTGGTGGGTGCACGGCGTGGCACAGGCCTGGCGTACTTTACACTTGTCAGTGGTCAGCCCGCACCGAGAGCAGAGGTACTTGCCCGCTCTGAGCTCAAAGGCGTGCTGGCTCGATTGCATGGCTAGCTGCAGCTTGGTGAGGCGCGGGCCTTTGGCCTGCGAGGGTCGCTTCGCCACCCAGGGGTCGACTGCAAGCGTGTCAGCTAGGGCTCGGCGCGCCCTCCTGCGGATGAGGGTGCACTGGGCATCGTGCAGGTCTGTGGGAGGGGCCTGTCCTACTAGCGCTGCCTCGTAGGACTGTTGGGCCGCTACCCCTGCCCATGCATCGGCCGTCGCGTTACCGATAGTGTGAAAGTATCGCACTGGGTCTGAGGCAAGGCCAGGTGACTCCTCCCTGTGTGAGGGCACCCATATCACAGAAAGCTGCCTAGTGCCACGTGCGCGAATTGTTTTGGCAATACGTGCCCACAAATCCTGATGTGCGCCATCCTTTTCTTTATTATTAATATTATGCTTCTTCGTATCATTATTAATATTAGTCTTATTATTATTAGTAGTGTTACGTTACCTATCCATACTCTTAGTTTCAGTAGTATGATTAGCTGTTTTTATTAGTATTAGTGCTCTTCTTATTATTATTCGTCTTCTTAGTATTGCTAGCACTATTATCATTATGATTATCCTTATTAGTATTCGTATTCTTAGTATGCTTCGTGTTAGTCGTATTAGCCGTCTTATCATTATTATCATCATTATTACTATTCTTCTTTTTTATGATTATTCCTACTATTATTATTGGTTGTCTTATTATTCTTCTTCTATTTGTAGTGTTCCTCTTCCTCCTCCTCCTCCTCCTCCCTCCTCCTCCTCCTCCTCCTGCTCCTCCTCCTCCTCCTCCTCCTCCTCTTCCTCCGCCTCATCATCATCAGCAGCAGCATCAGCATCAGCATCAGCATCAGCAGCATCATCATCATCATCACCATCATCATCATCAGCATCATCTGAACCATCATCATCTGCATCATCATCATCTGCATCATCATCAGCATCATCATCAGCATCATCATATGCATCATCATCATCATCCTCATCATCATCACCATCATCATCATCGGCTTTATCATCATCAGCTTTATCATGATCATCATCATCATCATCATCATCATCATCATCATCATCATCATCACTTTCCTTATCATCCTCCTCTTCCTCCATCCCTTCTCCTTAAAAACAGCGTTTCCCTGTCGCACCCCGAGGCCCGTCGAAAGGGCGGTCCTGGCGTTTCGCCTGGGACTTCCTCACCACGTATGGTTCTGAAGCTTCACATTGGCAACCGTTTCACGGATTGAAGGCGGGTCGTTTCCAGATTTGGTTTTCGATTTAGCGCCACGCACATTCGCTTAAAAGCTCTCAAGAATTTCACGGATGGAGGGCGGTTCCTTTTCAAAACGTGGTTGTCGCCTTACCGCCGCAAGAGGTTCACAGATTTCCATGGCCGGCGTACCAGAAATGGTGATTTGGAAAGGTTCAGGAAGATGAGGGCGCCACAATTACGTTGAGTCGCGGTGTTGAGGTCCCAGGAATAGCGTACTGGCCGATTCAGGATCGTCAAGACGCAACAGTCAGGTTGATCCGTGGCGCTGTAATCCCGAACATAATGCTTCGACTGCTTCAGGGCCTTCAAAAGGTTGTCTTCCAACGAGGCAAATCCCTCCGTGGAAAAGAAACCCTTGCACGGGCCAATGAAAAGGAAGCTTGGAGGAGGGGCTGATCCAAAACATCGTTGATGACACTTTGGTTCACACTGGTCCTCCTCTTCCGCCTCCTCCTCCTCGTCCTCCTCCTCCTCCTTCCTGTTTTCCTCCTCCTCCTCATCCTCCTCCTCATCCTCCTCTTCCTCCTCCTCCTCCTCCTCCTCCTCCTCCGCCTCCTCTTTCTACTTTTCCGTCTTAGCCTCCTCTCCAACTCATCCTCCTCCTTTTCCCCTTCTTCTCTTCTCTCCTCCTTCCCCTCCCTCCTCTCTCTCTCTCCTCCGCCTGTCCTCTCCTCCTCCTTCCTCCTTCCTTCTCCTTCCTCCTCTCCTCCCCTCTCATCCTCCCTCATCCTCCTCCTTTCCTCCTCCTGCCTCCGTCTCTCCTCCCCCTCCCCCTCCCCATCCTCCTCCCCCCCTCCTCCTCCTCGCCTCCTCCTCCTCTCCTCTCCTTTTCCTCTCTCCCCTCCTTCTCCTCTCCCCCTCCTACTCCTCCTCCTCCTCCCTCCTCTCCTCCTCCTCCTTCCTCCTCTCTCCTCCTCTCTCTCCCTCCTCCCTCCTCCTCCTCCTCCTCCTCCTCCTCCTCCTCCTCGTCGTATATCCCTCCCTCATTTTCCCATCCTCCTCATCATCACCAACAGCATCACAGCAGCAATCACACCAATCATATTAAGACTGTTCGCCTTTATCTGTTCGACTGTCCAATAACGCGTATTTCCCAGACCGTCGATACCCGCCCTCTTCGTCTTCGATCGAACCCCTTTTGGGGGGGATACCTTTTTTCCCTGCAGGCCGGGCCCCGGCAAGCGGCGGGGCGGCCGCGGACCGTCGGCCTGGCCAGCGACAGCTCTGATCGGCACGGCGGCCGCGGACCGTCGACCCGACCCCAGGAGGGACGGACGGGGGACCGACCACGACGACGACGACGACGACGACGACGACGACGACGACGACGACGACGACGACGACGACGACGACGACGACGACGACAACGTCGACGACGACGACGACGACGACGACGACGACGACGACGGCGACGACGAGCGAAAGCGAGAGCGAGGGAAAAACGACGAGCAGGGCCACGAAGGACACGAAGTAGGCCACGAAGGGCGACAGCGGGGACACGAAGGGAATGCGCACGGGGCCACGAAGAGCGCGAACGAGCGGGGGCCACGAAGGGCAGATAATGCGGGGCCACAGAAGGCAACGATGGGGCCACTGAGGGTAGCAATTGGGCCAACGGCGACAGCGGGGCCACGAAGGGCACGCACATGGGGCCACAACGGGCGCGACTCCTGGGCGCCTGGGTGTCGGTAGCGCGGCGCCTGAGCAAATTGCAAGAAATTCCCACGCAAGGGCGCTATTCATCAAAAATTTGCAAGCAAGTCTCCACCGAATGCGCCACTCCAGAGCGCCGGGAGAGCGATTCCTAAAATTACAACGGCGAAGGATTCAACCATCCGCCAGCTGTGCGTACCGCGAGTGTGGATATCTTCTTCGGTGGAGTTCCGTATGGGGACACGAAACGTGTGAAGGCTGCGCCGGGGCGTTCGGTGGAGCTCCTTGTGGGGCCACGAAACGTACGAGGGGTGTGTCGACATTGGTGTTGTGGGCGTATTGGAACGCAGCCACTGGGGCCTTCGGTGGAACTCCCTGCGGGGTCACGAAACGTGTGAGGGGTGCGCCGAAATGGGCGCGGTGGGCGCATGCGAACGCAGCCACTGGGGCCTTCGGTGGAGCTCCCTGTGGGGCCACGAAACGTGTGAGGGGTGCGCCGAAAAAGGTGCGGTGGGCGCAAGCGAACGCAGCCACAGGGACCTGGGGTTCCCTGCGGGGCCACGAAACGTGCGAGGCGTGCGCCGAAAAGGGTGCGGTGGGCACACGCGAGCGCAACCACTGGGGCCTTCGGTGGAGCTCCCTGTGGGCCACGAAACGTGTGAGGGGGTGTGCAAAATTGCGTGCGGTGGGCGCACGCGAACGCAGCCACTGGGGCCTTCGGTGGAGCTCCCTGTGAGGCCACGAAACGTGTGAAGAGTGTACCGAAATGGGCGCGGTGGGCGCATCCGAACGCAGCCACTGGGGCCTTCGGTGGAGCTCCCTGCGGGGCCACGAAACGTGTGAGAGGTGCGCCGAAATGGGTGCGGCGGGCGCATGCGAACGCAGCCATTGCGGCCTTCGGCGGAGCTCCCTATGGGGTCACGAAACGTGTGAGGGGTGCGCACAATTGCGCGCGGTGGGCGCATGCGAACGCAGCCACTGGGGCCTTCGGTGGAGCTCCCTGCGGGGCCGCGAAACGTGCCAGGGGTGCGCCGAAGTGGGCGCGGTGGGCGCATGCGAACGCAGCCACTGGGGCCTTCGGTGGAGCTCCCTGCGGGGCCACGAAACGCGCGAGGGGTGCGCCGAAAACGGTGCAGCGGGCACATGCGAACGCAGCCACTGGGGCCTTCGGCGGGGCTCCCTGTGGGGCTACGAAACGTGCGAGGGGCGCGCCGAAAAGGGCGCGGTGGGCGCATGTGAACGCAGAAACTGGCGCCTTCGGCGGGGCTCCCTGCGGGGCCACGAAACGCGTGAGGGGTGTGCCGAAATGGGCGCGGCGGGCGCATGCGAACGCAGCCACTGGGGCCTTCGGTGGAGCTCCCTGCGGGGCCACGAAACGTGCGATGAGTGTACCGAAATGGGCGCGGTGGGCGCATGCGAACGCAGCCACTGGGGCCTTCGGTGGAGCTCCCTGTGGGGCCACGATACGTGCGGGGGGGGGGCCGAAATGGGCTCGGCGGGCGCATGCGAACGCAGCCACTGTGGCCTTCGGTGGAGCTCCCTGTGGGGCCACGAAACGTGCGAGGGGTGTGCCGACATGGGCGTGGTGGGCGCACGCGAACGCAGCCACTGGGGCCTTCGGTGGAGCTCCCTGTGGGGCCACGAAACGTGCGAGGGGTGTGCCGATATGGGTGCGGTGGGCGCATGCGAACGCAGCCAGTGCAGCCCCGTTGCTAGCCTGCACGCTCTGCAGTTCACTCGACTCCCCGGCGGAGATGGGTGTAGGCCCACCAGCTCCCAAAATTGCGTACCTCAGGACTTCCTGTCCAGCCTCATGTCCCGTTTCGCTCCTGTGCGCGGCCGCATCCTCGGGTTCAGGTAATTGCTGCCCCACCAGCTCCCAATCGCTACCCTCGTGTGCTGCTGGGGGAGAGGCAACAGGGGTCCTGACCAACGAGGTGTCGTCAGCCATTCGAAGGCGATGGGTCGCGCCGAATGGCAGGCGAGGGCGGCGCGAGGTGAGGGGCGCCGCCGGGGCGTGCGCGGGGGGGGCCGGCGCGCGGCCAAGGCGGTGCGTCGGACGCCTCCTCGAGGTGGGGGGTACCCCTCGCGGCTTGAGCCAGAGGCTCGAGCCACAGGGGCTACGGACACATCCTCCCTAACACTCGCACGCGATCTGGCCGAGGGGAGGCGAAGGAAGGGGGGGGAAGAGGGGGGAGGCGGGAGGGGGGGGAGGGGGGGGGGGCAGGACGGGGGGAGCAGGGGCTGAGGGGGGCAGCAGCAGCAGCAGGGAGGGGGGGGGGGCAAGGGGGGAGGCGGCGGCGGAGGGGGGAGAGCGAGGAGGAGGAGGAGGGAGGAGGGGGGAGGAGGAGGAGGAGGAGGAGGCGGAGGAGGAGGAGGAGGAGGAGGAGGAGGCGGAGGAGGAGGAGGAGGAGGAGGAGGAGGAGGGGAGGAGGAGGAGGAGGGGAGGAGGAGGAGGAGGAGGAAGAGGAGGAGGGAGGAGGGAGGAGGAGGCGGAGGAGGAGGAGGAGGAGGAGGGGAGGAGGCGAGGGACGGCGGGAGCCCGAGCGGCGGAGCGAGGGAGGGCAGAGGGCGAGGAGGTGCGCAAAAGCGCGGGCGCGGCCCCCCGGCGCCGCCGCTCGCCCCAGGCGCTGACGTTCACAGCGCCCATCTCGAGCAGCACCCGCAGGCCCTCGGTCCAGGGGCGGCGATCGAGGGCCTGGGCCGGCCGGCGAGCACAAGGCCCGCCCTGGACGGGGGGGAAGGGAGGGATGGAGAGGTCCTCCTAATCCCTCCCTTCCTCCTCTCCTCCTCCTCCTCCTCATCTCCTCCTCCTCTCCTCCTCCTCCGCCGCCGCCGCGCCGCGCCGCGCCGCCGCCGCCCGCCGCCGCCGCCGCCGCCGCCGCCGCCGCCGCCGCCGCCCGCCCGCCGCCGCCTCCGACTCCGCCTCCGCCTCTCCTCCGCCTCCGCCTCCGCCTCCGCCCCCCCCACGCGCGCGCGCGCGGGCGGGTCGAGGCCAGGGCGGCGGCGAGGCAGTCGGGCGTGTCCCTCTGCAGGAGGAATACGCAAGAACGGTGAGAGACAATAGTCTGGTGACGATGTTCCGTGCTCTTTTGACGAATGCTGGCTTTCGCTTTCTTCCAGAATCCGCCTGTAGGAGGCCACGCCCGAGCCAAGGCAGGCCGCCGGGCGGGCCGCCGGGCCAGGCGGACAGCCCTGGCAGGCTGTGCCCCCCTGGAAGGGGCCGTGGCGCGCCTGGGCCAGGCCAGGCAGGACGAAAGCAGGGCGCGCGCGCAAGCGCGCGAGCACGCGTGAGAGAATGGCGGCACTGCCGCTGGGCGCAGAGCTGAACAATTGACAATTACTGAACACTCCCCCTCCCCCCGAACTCAAAGTTGGCACGCGCGGGGGAGACTGCAGTCGAGGTGCAAATCATCAGACCCACCGCCAACTTTGAACATTGGCGGGAGGGGGAGGCGTTGACAGATGAATGTAGCACGAGTAGTCGCTATTTTTGTCCGAGGCCCGGATCTCCGACGATCTGATCGTTTCCGTCCGGGCAAAGTTCCTCGCGGCCTCCAGGGGCCGCGATCGGGCGCCGGGACCATCCGCAACGGATCCGGGGCGCGAAACCAGCCCCGGTGAAGGGGTCGGGAACTCTGGGGCCGCGGATTGAAAAAAACACAGATCGGAGGATGTCAGGGGAGAGCAGGGGCCCTGCGATTCTTTCCTCTCCCGTGTCGCCTCGTCCTTCGTTCCCCCCTCTCTGCTCGTGTCCTCGTTGTCGTCGTCCTCCGAGTCTTGCGGGCTGGCAGGGCTGTCCACGAGCAGACGCCCCGCCGCGCAGCGGAACTGGCCACCTGCGAGAACTGGGAGGGAGGCGGACGGAGCACAGAAGGCACGGACGGCCCACTGCGGCCAGGCTACGCCGTAAGAGGCACAGGGTGACGAAGCTGTGCGACGTCCGCATCTCGCAGTGAGAGAGCCACCACCACCCGCGCCTCTGCATCGAAAACACCCGCGCAGCAGTGTCGCCCGACTTCCCACATCGACGACGACCACCACCGCCACGACGACGACCTCGGCGACGGTGGAAGCGGCGGCAGTGGCGGCAGCGGCCGCAGCAGCCGCAGCGGCAGCTGGCAGAACGATGGCGGCGACCTCCGGGTCTCTCGGGCCCTCAACCGCAGCAGGCCGTCTGCAGGCCACGCGTCGAAGGGAGTAGGCGCCCGTTGTCGGACCACCGCGGCACACCGCGTCCTCATCCTTCTCACCTTCGTTCTCAACCTCCTCCGAGATTGGCGCCTGCGCGGGTCGATCCCGACGGCTTTCGTGCCCGCGTGTGCTTTTGTTGCCCGCCCGTGCCTCTAACGAAATACACGCGGCGCGATCGCAAGGAGAGGTATGTAATGTTTGATGATGGGTGTGGTAGGAAGCTACATGTACATCGCTATACATGATTACGTATGTAAATGTATGCCCACGTATCTATGTGTTTCGTCTATATGTGCGCGTGTAGCACGCAAGTGCGAGCATTACGCAGAGACAACATAGCAGCGATACAAGCTGTAGACGGCGAGCAGGGGCAAAGCTAAAGCAAGCTGAAGGCGAGCGAAGAGCGGGCAAACTAGAACAAATGGAAGGTGATGACGCGATGAACCGAAGACTACCGTAATGTAACCGGCAAGGTGAGCTGGAGGCATGATACAAAAATGCATGGAAGCAATCTAGGAGTTCGAAAGGCAGACTCGAATAAAGCGTGAAGCAAGCGAAAGACAAGGTCAAGGCAAGCTAGAGGCAAGGTAAATATACGCCGAAGAAAAAAGATCATCGCAAGTAAGCGCTGATGTACGGCCATAGGACAAGCAACCTAAAACCGGTCAAGGGCATGCTCACATACAGGGATGCTGAAACTGATCAAAGGACAGATAACCATGCCATCTTCGGGGCAAACGCAGGCGGAAGTCTGATAATAAGACATGACAAGCACCAAAACCAAACAAGTAAAAGACAAAACACGACAGTTAGCCGAGTGAGGGCAAAGCTAGAGCAAGTCAGTACGCAACGATAAGCTCAATCAAGCAGAAGGCTAGCAGGAGAACAAGTTAAAGGCGAGGGAAAGACAATCGAACAGACAAGGCAGAAGCAAGCCACAAGGTTTAGAATTGCTTGTTCTGGAAACCCGCTGTGGAAACATAACCAATCCCTCTTTCAAAACAAATCAAAACCACTCCGGCAAAACCTGGTCGTGGGACAGACAGCTTCCTGGAAATCCGCCGACCCTGTCGGCGTGTGTGAGGGGCTTGTCCGTTCAAGTCGTCATCTCCGTCATTCGTTGGTCGTCGTCTCTGTCGTCCCCTTTCCCTGCCTCCCCTTTTTCCCTGGGCTCGTCGAAGCTCCCCCCTTTCCCAGGGACCTCCTCAGCGCGCCAGCCAAAGCAAAGTTGAGCAACGTCGTAATTGAGTCGAAAAGCCCCTTCCATTCGATCCCTCCCCCGCCGGGGGGGGGGGCCGGGGGGGGTCCGGGGAGGGGGTCAGATACGACGCCCCCCCCTGGGAGTCCCAAAGCCCAAAAAAGCCCCAAGACGGGCCAAGAGTGCCCCAAGAGGCCCCAAAGACAGTCCAAGAGAACCCTGAATCGCCGAACCATCTGTCCAAGACGCCTTGACGGCCTCCAGACGGCCCAAGAGGCCTGCAAAGCGCCCCAAGAGGCCTCGAGGAGCTTTCCCACGAGAGCCCCAAGAGGCAAAATTTATGGATTTCCCATTTGTTTTTGAAAGATTTTGGCGTTCTTGCCTCTTCCGCTTCCCGACGCGCCAAGACGGCCCAAGAAGCCCCCAAGATCGCCCCAAGACGGGCCAAGAGGCCCCCCCGAAGGTCCCCTAACGGCCGACGAGGGCCCCAAGACGGCCCAAGACGCCTCCAAGACGGCCCAAGATGACACCAAGACGGCTCCAGGAGAGTGCCCAGACAGGGGACCCGAACGGACACTTCGAGCTCTCAGCCCCAAGAGGCCCCCAAGAGGCCCCGAAGAAGCCCCCAGAGGCCCCAAAAGGCTCCCAAGGAGCCCCCAAACTGCCCAAAGACACACCATGAGAGCCCCAAATTGCCCAGGAAGCCTCCAAGAGTGCCTCGAGACGGCGCAAGAGGAGCCCTGGACGGCCCGAGACGGCCTCAAGAGAGCCCCAGGCTGTCCCAAGAAAGCTTCTGGCCTCCTCCTTTTCCTTCTCTTCCTCCTCCCCCCCCCTCTGCTCCCCCTCCTCCTCCTCTCCTCTGCTTCCTTTTCCTCCTCTTGCTTCTCCTCCACATCCTTCTCCCCCCTCCTCCTCCCTCATCCACCTCCTCCACCCTTCCTCCACCTCCCACTCGTTCTCCTCCCAGTGCCCCCCCCCCTCGTTTTCATCTTCGTCGTTCTCAGGGTCGGCGGCACCGGCCGTAAGGCCTTCGCAATCCAACTCTTGCAATGATAAGGCGGCGGGTACGCCCACTGGAGCTGCAACTAGCACTGAGCGCAGAAGGGCGGCGGAAGCGCGGACCATCTACGAGGCCGCTCGTTGGGGCCGTCGTCGGGGCTCCACCCGCGGCACGAAGCACATGTGGGGCACGCCAAACGAGGGCGTGGGCCGCACGGGAACCCGCCCACTGAGGCCAGACTAAGGACTCCTCCAGAAATGCACATGTGAAGGCGGGCCAGAGTGGATGCGCGGGCCACATGCGGTCCCATCCAAAGGTGCAGTAGTCGGAGATACCCGTGGGGCACGAGGCGCTTGACGGGTGGGCCATATCGGGGGCGCGGACCATATGCGAACACGCCCAGTGGAGCCGTGCTTGGAGCTCTCTGTGGGGCACGAAGGGTGATGCGCGAACCAAATACGAACCATCCAAGTGAGAAGTAACGGGTGGCCTGGATAATGAAGCGAGCAACGGGTGAGTCACATTTTGGTGCGGACCACATTCGGGCCCGCCCACTGGAGCCGCAGTTGGGCCCCCTACGGGGGATGAAAAATTTAAAGCATTGGGCTGAAACGCAAGCGGCGGCCACATACGGACGCGCCGACTGAAGCCGTAGTTGCGGGGTTTCCTGCAGGGCACCAAACGAGTAGCGGAAGCAGCAGCCACGCGGCATCACGAGCAGCAGTTGGAGGCGAGAGGAGGATGGGGAGAGAGCGGAGCGCCTGTGGCGATACAGAAGCTGCGAGTACCCAAATCCGCAGCACCGTCAGAAATAAGCACCTGCTGAGGCCCATTGCCGGGTCATCCGGATCCGATGTGCTGGACTTCACTGGGATGCCCTCCCGCCGAGCTCCTCGAAGCGAGCTCTGCTACGGTGGCGGGCTCGATGCAATGGCCCAGCGGCCAGCAGAAAACAAGAGTGTCGAAGGAGAGGCGTGCTGAGCGCAGGCAAGCTTTGGAAGCCAAACAGCCCCTCACCAGGGGCAAGGAGCCTTGTAGCTGACCGTGTCGGCATCTTCGTGCTTCGTGGCAGGGAAGCCCTTCACCTCCGCGCCGTGACCAGAAGCACAGCGCCAATGGTGCAGAAACGGGAAGGAAAAGGAGGAATAAGAGGGCAACACAGACGGGGATAGGAACCTGCAAAAAGGGAGGGGGATGGGGGGAGCGGAATGTGAATCGACAGAGAGGGATAGATGCAAGCACTGCAGAAAGGAGGGACACACAAAAAAGGGTGGGGAGGGAGAGACATTGACAGAGACAGAGAGACCGAGAAACGGTAAGATTGAGAGACAGTCAAGAAAAAAACGTCTCCCGTCCTGCCTGGGGAAGCTCGATATGACGTGGTGTGAGCTCCGACGCCGCTGGCGTGCTGTCCCGCCATGGGCCACGTTGGGGCCATGAGCTACTAAGTAAAACTTCCCCCTTCTCCTCGCCATTCCTGACGAGATGGAGCGAGAGCAAAGGAGGGTGGCAGGGAAACAGGGAGAGAGAGAGAGAGAGGGTCAAGAGAAGAGAGGGGAAGAGAGAGAGAGGGGGGGGAAAAAAAAATCGCAACAATTGGGACGACAGGTCGTCCAGGACCCCGGGCCGCACGTGCCAGGCAGGCCTTCCTCGAAAAGCAGGAAGCGCCGAAAATGGACTGACGTGGTGAAGCAACTTCCCCCTGGCGCGGACGAACGGTGCCCCTTATTTTATTTTATATATGTATATAGACATGTTTTGCTATATATATATATATATATATATATATATATATATATAAACAAAAAAAAAACAAAAAAAAAAAAAAAAAGGAGGAGGCGGTGATCAGATCTCTCAATGGCCCGTTTGCGCCCCCGTGCAGAAACAAGCACCAGCTTTCAGTACGCTTTCGCATGCGCACCTCGGCGTCCCTGGACGAGCGGCGCCGCACTGGCGCATCCCCCGCAGCGGCCCAGAAAGAGCAGACGACAGAACAGGCGCTAGCAATTCGGAAGGTTCGACAAACAGGGGGGCTAGCACTGGTGCGCCGCCCGTCGAACGTCGAGGAAAGCCTGGAAGTTGTCGTGGATGGGCGCTCCCCTGGCCGCAGAAGGGTTGAAAGGCCCGCTGCAAGCCGTTCCAAGCCGTTTGCGCACGGCGGAACCTGCCGATCAGCAGCGCCGACTGTTCGGTGGAGGGATGCGACCACCCGATTGGTTTGCTGGTGGAGCGCTTGCATGCTGGCACTGAGACCTGTCTAGCGGTCTCCCTGTTTCTGGCCGCTGGACGCAGTGGGGCGCGCCCTGAGGACTTGCCTGCGGCCCGCGCGTTGCGCGACACCGCTGGCGCGGCGGCCGCCACTCCTGGACCCGAGGCCGCCCCTGTCGGATCGATGGTGGGCCGAATGGAGGGGCGCGTTACGATGGGAATGATGAGATGCCATAGCGCCTTGCCGCGCCCGAGCGTGGAGAGGCCGCGCGTTTGCCGTCTCGTCGAGGCGGCCCTCGGCAGCGTAGACATGGCCCAGAGGGGGCCACAGCTAAAGAGAGTCGCGGTCGCCCGCGTTGAAGGAAGCCCCGAACCGTAGCGGGTCGAGGCCATCAGCTTCGAAGTCGTCCGCGCGTGGGGACCAGGGCTCATCGAGCTCGTCGGCACGGTCAAGGCCTGGTGGCCCATCCATCGGAGGTGCACCCCAGCCCCCCTGCCTGGCGGCGCGCGAATATAGTTCACTCTTGGAGAGCCCAGACTCGCAGAGCCCTGCTCTCCAAGTGGGCAGGGGGGGTTCGCGATGCTGCCGGTCGCACATGGCGACGGCCATGCCGAGGAGTACAGCGGCGAACTTGCGGCGCCATCTAGCGGCACCAACCACGTTTTGCGGGGCGCCGCGGAGCCGCGCCCCCGCGGAAGCGAATTCATCGGCGCGGCGGTTGGAAGAATCGGCGAAAAACGCGACCCGGCCATCGCTGACGCCGCGCACCCCTAGGAGACTTTCAACCTTCTGCCCTCTGAAACAGGCAGGTCTCGCAAGGAGCACTTGGTGGAGTTTCTGTCAAAGGTCCGATTGCAGCCCCACGCGTCGCGGCGGTGAGCACCCGAGCACGACGACTTCTTGGAACCCGTCGATGACAGCTTGGTCGTCAACCAAGACGTGGACCCGTCTTTCCGCCGTGGCGACGCGGCGCAACACGTGACCATTTCGGCCCGTTGCGCGGCCCTTTGCGCGGACTGCGGCAGGCAGCGCAAACGGGCCGAGCGGTTCAACCGGCGGCCAGGACCGCCACGCCAAAGCCCGCCCTGGCCAGGAGGGGGCGAGCTCGGTTACAGCAAATCTCGCCAGTCCCGACGTAGACCCATCGGGCAACATGGTCGTCGGTGCACTCTTGGAAAGGACCTTCGTCCGCCTCACACTGGGGCGGTCTCGGGATGGTCTGCGGGTGCTCGTTATCTGCCAGAGCTGCCCGGAGGTCGAGAAAGGTGGGGCCTTCCTCCCGGAGGCCGCAGCGCCTGGCGCGCGATGGGAGATCCCGCCACCATGACCTCGAGGACAGACCTCTGGCTTGCCCGTCAAGAAGATCCCTAGACAGCGTGCCCCTGGGCTTCTCCTTCTCTGGTCACACCATCTACACAGACGAGCTGAGTCCGCCGAGATACCGCCCTTGACGCTACTCGCGGTCAGCCCCACAGAGGTAGTTGCACGGAACACCGACTCGCCAAGCAGAACATTCGACTTTGCCCTCGGTTCTAGGGAGCCAGCTGCTAGCCAAACTGGAGCACGGGAGCACACGCACGAAGAAACCAGCTGGCAGACGGTGCCTGGAGAGGCGCGCGCATCAATGGTCGCACATGGCGGCATAGTCGGGCCATAGCCACTCGAGTCGGACAGCGGTTTGCCAAACTCTTCCCCGCGACCGCCCCCTCACCCCAAGCAGCGCTTCGTCTCGGGCGACGGCGCCGAGTTCGATCGCGCGGCCAGGGGCCGCTACCGCCCGATGGGTCCGATGGCAAAAGCCGCGTTTTCCTAGACATTCCGCACTCTGCGCAGGGCGCTTGGATTCCCGCACCCGCGGCGCACTTGCCGGCGACGAGGAAGCGGACCGATCGAGCCCTCAGTTGGGCGCCTTCGGGGAGACGCCCGACGCATGGGATGCGCTCGATAGCCTATTACACCCAAGCATCGGCAGCGGCGCCCGTCGAGGTGGAGAGCGGCGATCCAGCTGCTTAGCTCGCCACCCAGAGCCCACCCAACGATTTGCCGGGACGAATTGTCTGGCCCGACAGTTTGTCGAGCAGGGCAGTCTGGTCGAGGGGGGTCTGTAGTTCGGCGGCCGCGAGAGCACTGGAGTAACTATCATCGACGAAATTCGCTGAGCGACCGCAGGATATACCTGCGCTGCTGGCCCGCCCAGACGCACGAGAGAAGCTCGACGTCTGCGAGAAGGATGAACGAGCAAGACAGCCAGTCAGCATACACCCACCACCCGTGGAACGGCGCCTGCACAGGGCACTTGGTCGCAGGGCCCTCCACGGAGACGCGCGCGCCCCCAGGGTCACGCACAGAGAGATGAGAGAAGAAAGACAAGGGGGAACTGCGTGCCACCACCGGCCAGGCCTGAGGCCCCCCCCCCTCACGACACATGAAAGCGGAAGCAAACAGATGATGAGAAAGACCTGGCCGGGAAAACCCCACAGCGACAGCTTCCTAGGAGAGGCGACGGTAGAGAAGCGTCAAGATGTGCACCTGCAGGAAAGAAGATTGGAAATCTGACATGTGCACACGACGTCAAAATAGCATGGATACAGGCTCGCACACTGCGCAGTGCGTCGCAGCGCAAGATGCGCACCCGACGGGAGCGACCGAAAAGGAAAACAGGATTGCGAGAGCGCGCGAGAGCTTGAGCACGTCGACACGCGTCTCTCAACGCACACTCGCGGGGGGGGGGGCACAGAGGAAGGGGGCGGAGGAAGGAAGAAGGAGGAATAATAAGTCGATGTGACCTGTGGGGAGGCGGAGCACTGCCCATTCGACCCGAGGGGCGCATGCTCGGGCCGACGCGAGCTCAACCACTGGATTTCTCGAGGCCCAGCCGCCCCGAGGAGCGGGAACACCGACGGCGCCGCCGACCCCCCCCCCGAATCGAGACCACACGAGAAAGGGAAACACAAGGAAAAAAGGAAATAGAAGAAAAGAATGGCCCCCGCCCAAAATTGGCTGCCCCCAACGATTAGGGGCGCGCCGGCCCCGCCCTGAATGGGCTGCTCATCGGCGCGGACAGGGCTGTGGCAACCTCGAGCATGTCTCTTAATGCTCTGCTCTGAAAGGTGCCAGTTTGCGGGGCTACGACCCCCCCGCAAGGCCCCTTATTCGCGATAAGAAGACAAGGAAAGAGAGGACGGGAACGGACCGACTCCAGAGAGACGCGGGAAGGTGAATTCCCACGACCATCAGACACTGCGGGGCCAGAAGGAGGAGGAAGAGGGAAAAGGGGGCACGACCCCCCAGAATAGGGACATCCGTGCTCATACGTTGCAAGAGAAGAAGAATAGGGATCTGCACGGAGCTGCTGCGGGGTCCACCGCGAGGACTCAACCTGAACTTGCGGGCGTTGCGAGCTCTGCGAGGAAGAGTAACCTGAATGTGATTGAAACAACCAGGAAAAAATCAAGTGGTCATGGGTCAACTGTCAGTACCTATAGGCCCTGGCCATCGACGTCTCGGAGTCGCCAGCGGCGCGCTTCCTGCGCGTGGCCCAAACGGGATTCGAGCCCGTGCCTTTTTCAGCATCTCTGGTTCACGAATCTCTTTTTGGGAGACCTGGGAGAAATGACAAAAAGCAAATGCCCGGAATGCGGGCGCCCCCGCCAGCTTGGACTACTCTTCACGATTAGGGGGGCGAAATGCCAGTCCTGCACGAGGCCCGCCACCGTCAATACCTCGGCCAGTCGAGCTTCGAGGGAGGCGAAATCGCCAGCCGAAGTCGGGATCGCCAGCCTGCAGGTCTGGGCCCGCACATCATACAACTCTGCCAGGGCGCTGGCATTCCGCAAACGATCACGGAGATTCTTCCCGCACGCACTGGCACACAGA